ACATTTTTGAGGTCCCCATGAGGAAACAAGCTTATAAATCATAGTTTTTTGAGTTTTTTGAAAATCTAAAAATGCAGAAAGTTTCCTGTGAGGGGTAGGTTTAGGGGTAGGGGACAATAGAAGGAAGAGAAAATACAGTTTTGTGCAATATTCACGCAGATGCGCAATGCTTAAGGATCCTCTAACAAGGTATAAACAAAGGAGTATTGCTCCACGGCAAAGGCAAATTGCATCTTTTGTTCATTCGTTTGACTGTGTGTGTGTGTGTGTGTGTGCGCGTTTTTGTGACAAATGAGGACATACATTTGTATAATGACAAGGGTATGACATAGGTATAAGAAGGAGAAGGTGACTTTTCAGGACATTGCCCCATGTCCCCACTTTTCAAAACGCTTATAAATCACACAGAATGGAGTGTATTGAAAATCTGAAATAGCACAAAGTTTTCTGTGAGGGGTAGGTTTAGGGGTAGGGTTGGTGTAGGGCAATAGAATATACGGTCTGTACAGTATAAAAACCATTACGCCTATGGAGAGTCCCCACTTTTCACAAAAACAAACCTGTGTGTGTTCTGTTGAATGTGTTTGTGTTTGATTGATTCAGTGCTGCTGGTGTGTTTGTTCAGATTCACTCTTCAACACTCTGCTGTTCTTGTGTTTTTCAGCTTTTTCGTTTTACGACCCTAATCTCTGTTATATCCTGGATGCGCTTTTTCTGCTGTACGGCGTCATCATCACTGCCTTCTTCGTGCGCGAGCGAGTGAGTCTATAACACACACACACACTCACATGCACACGCACACACACACACACTCTCACACACGGACACACACGCACGCACACGCACACACACACACACTCACACTCACACTCACACACACACTCACTCACTCACTCACTCACACACACTCACACACAGACTCACACACACACGCACAGACTCACGCACGCACGCACACACACACACACACTCACATGCACACGCACACACACGCACACTCTCACACACGCACACACACACTCTCACACACGGACACACACGCACGCACACGCACACACACACACACTCACACTCACACTCACACACACACTCACTCACTCACTCACTCACACACACTCACACACAGACTCACACACACACGCACAGACTCACGCACGCACGCACACACACACACACACTCACATGCACACGCACACACACGCACACTCTCACACACGCACACACACACTCTCACACACGGACACACACGCACGCACACGCACACACACACACACTCACACTCACACTCACACACACACTCACTCACTCACTCACTCACACACACTCACACACAGACTCACACACACACGCACAGACTCACGCACGCACGCACACACACACACACACTCACATGCACACGCACACACACGCACACTCTCACACACGCACACACACACTCTCACACACGGACACACACGCACGCACACGCACACACACACACACTCACACTCACACTCACACACACACTCACTCACTCACTCACTCACACACACTCACACACAGACTCACACACACACGCACAGACTCACGCACGCACGCACACACACACACACACTCACATGCACACGCACACACACGCACACTCTCACACACGCACACACACACTCTCACACACGGACACACACGCACGCACACGCACACACACACACACTCACACTCACACTCACACACACACTCACTCACTCACTCACTCACACACACTCACACACAGACTCACACACACACGCACAGACTCACGCACGCACGCACACACACACACACACTCACATGCACACGCACACACACGCACACTCTCACACACGCACACACACACTCTCACACACGGACACACACGCACGCACACGCACACACACACACACTCACACTCACACTCACACACACACTCACTCACTCACTCACTCACACACACTCACACACAGACTCACACACACACGCACAGACTCACGCACGCACGCACACACACACACACACTCACATGCACACGCACACACACGCACACTCTCACACACGCACACACACACTCTCACACACGGACACACACGCACGCACACGCACACACACACACACTCACACTCACACTCACACACACACTCACTCACTCACTCACTCACACACACTCACACACAGACTCACACACACACGCACAGACTCACGCACGCACGCACACACACACACACACTCACATGCACACGCACACACACGCACACTCTCACACACGCACACACACACTCTCACACACGGACACACACGCACGCACACGCACACACACACACACTCACACTCACACTCACACACACACTCACTCACTCACTCACTCACACACACTCACACACAGACTCACACACACACGCACAGACTCACGCACGCACGCACACACACACACACACTCACATGCACACGCACACACACGCACACTCTCACACACGCACACACACACTCTCACACACGGACACACACGCACGCACACGCACACACACACACACTCACACTCACACTCACACACACACTCACTCACTCACTCACTCACACACACTCACACACAGACTCACACACACACGCACAGACTCACGCACGCACGCACACACACACACACACTCACATGCACACGCACACACACGCACACTCTCACACACGCACACACACACTCTCACACACGGACACACACGCACGCACACGCACACACACACACACTCACACTCACACTCACACACACACTCACTCACTCACTCACTCACACACACTCACACACAGACTCACACACACACGCACAGACTCACGCACGCACGCACACACACACACACACTCACATGCACACGCACACACACGCACACTCTCACACACGCACACACACACTCTCACACACGGACACACACGCACGCACACGCACACACACACACACTCACACTCACACTCACACACACACTCACTCACTCACTCACTCACACACACTCACACACAGACTCACACACACACGCACAGACTCACGCACGCACGCACACACACACACACACTCACATGCACACGCACACACACGCACACTCTCACACACGCACACACACACTCTCACACACGGACACACACGCACGCACACGCACACACACACACACTCACACTCACACTCACACACACACTCACTCACTCACTCACTCACACACACTCACACACAGACTCACACACACACGCACAGACTCACGCACGCACGCACACACACACACACACTCACATGCACACGCACACACACGCACACTCTCACACACGCACACACACACTCTCACACACGGACACACACGCACGCACACGCACACACACACACACTCACACTCACACTCACACACACACTCACTCACTCACTCACTCACACACACTCACACACAGACTCACACACACACGCACAGACTCACGCACGCACGCACACACACACACACACTCACATGCACACGCACACACACGCACACTCTCACACACGCACACACACACTCTCACACACGGACACACACGCACGCACACGCACACACACACACACTCACACTCACACTCACACACACACTCACTCACTCACTCACTCACACACACTCACACACAGACTCACACACACACGCACAGACTCACGCACGCACGCACACACACACACACACTCACATGCACACGCACACACACGCACACTCTCACACACGCACACACACACTCTCACACACGGACACACACGCACGCACACGCACACACACACACACTCACACTCACACTCACACACACACTCACTCACTCACTCACTCACACACACTCACAGACACACACACACACACACACACACTTTTAAAGTGTTCCGATATGGTCTAAATATTAGTAAATGTGGAATAACTGAGTCTGACAAACACACATACTGTAGAACAGGTACAATATGGCTCACATTTAAAAAAAAAAAAAAATTTCTAATATTTTTACAGAAAAAATATGTGGTAACAGGGAAAAGTAAAATATAAACCTGTAATAAACTAAATACATAAATATTTGTTTTCTTAACAGATCATCAAAATTATGACAGTGTCAGGCAGGTTTTAAAAATGAAATAATATAATGAAAGCAGAGCTGGGTAGTGACTGAATTACATGATCAGATTCCAAAAATTAAGTACTTGTAATTAGATTAAATTACATTTTAAAATACTAGTAATAAGGCTACAGTTAGGGTTAGGCTACAGTATATAATATAATCTAACACTGAACAACTAGCTTATATTGATGGAAAGTGATTTCAAATTCAAACAAAACATTTTCATATTTGGCTGAAATAACAGAGCAAATAGTTTAATTTGTTCCACAAAGCTGTGATGATGATGATGATGATGATGATGGTTTGTTTCAGCCTCTGCAGAAAAAGAGTGACGACACGTACCGAGAGATCGAGACGAAGCCAGGCGTAAGTGTGACTGATTCACTTTTACTGTCTCGTACCGATTCATCTGAACGATTCATATGAAAAGACTCACTCTGCTTGTGATTTTCCAGCAGCGGCGCCGCACTGATCAGGTTTATCAGGTCAGACACGCTTCACATCACAGCTAGACATCAGGTCCTGAACATCAGAGTGGGTTTGACGTGTTGAATGTGTTCTTGTGTTTCAGGGTTTGAGCTCCGTGACTAAAGACACGTATGATTCTCTGCACATGCAGCAGATTCACCCGCCGCCGCGCTAAACGCTGATGCTCCACCGTCAGCATCTCAGTCCACATTCATTATTCATTCCTGCTCTTGCTTCGTAAACCTTCCAGGTGTTTCTGTTCCTACAGACTCCGGAGATTATTCAGTGTTTTCACAGTGACTGTGCTCAGCGTTTCTCCACTTTGTGAATTATAGACTTTCATAATGAGCTCACATCACACATGTACAGTAGAGTCAGAAGAAAAATCGATATTAAACCGAACCTGATTGAAGAACGAACGCTTAACTCTCTGGTATTGTTCATTCGGGAGTCACACTTGTGTTGTTCGCCGGTCAAAACAGACCGGAGGTCATAATCGTGTGCAAATTTAATTTTTTGTGAAGATTTCATTTCAATAATGATTTTTTTTAATATTTAGCATTTTGAGCGTATTTCATGGTACTAATTAATATTCATATCTAAATATTGGACTATTTTCTGTATAAAATGTTAAAAATATATATATTTTTCAATTAATGCATTAAGTTAAAAATAGATCAAAAGTATTTAAAATCCACTGAATCGAGGCAGATTGGTTCCACCTTGTGGAAATAATGAATAATCACCTGTAATACCATGGTGTGGCCATTAGATGGCTGTATAGCCATATATATATATTCAGTGCTGTGCATTCCTTAGTTACTGAGCAGTGTTTTCAGGCATAACCGCTTAAGTTTTTGTCACCTCCTTCATTGCTGTGCATTGTGGCTGATTTGTAGATTGCACACACAAAAACATCTCTGTATTTTTGCCTATTTTCCATTCATTTCCAATGGTGGTCATTTTTTACCGCGAACAACACAAGTATGACTTTTTTCACAACCATTTAGCTTTTTCGAATCAAGTCCAAAGATGTTTTTGGGGGTTTTTAAGATTTTTAAGATTTCCAAACATTTTTTTCGTCCTAAAATGACCAAACAACACCAGAGGGTTAAACATCATGCGATTCAATAATTCACTCGATGCAGTCAGGCGGTAACATTTTACAATAAGGCTTCAACTAACGATAAAAAATAATTCTAAAATATTGAAATTAATCTCAGCATTTACTAATTCATTTTACGATCAAGTTGTATGTAACATTACTGCAGTGTAGACCAACATGAACATTTTTATTAATTAAAGGATAATAAATGCTGTAAAAATAATGTTAATGCATTAATTAACTATTCTGTATGATGTTTTAAACCTCCTCTTGTGATTTTGTGGTGAAATATGAGCTGCAGGTTTATCGAGATTCATGATTGATGTTTAATCTCTCTCTCTCACACACTGTATTATGAGTCTTTTTTAATTGTTTTATATTAGTAGTGTAATATTGCATTACTCTTTTTAAACTGAGAATTTCATTGTATTTCATTTGGTTGTTGTTACTTTTGTCTGTTTTGTGTATCTTTGTATCAGCTTGTTAAAATGATTTTTCTAGAATTTTTTCAGTAAATCAAACCCGATTATGAAACCTGATTCGACTGTTGATCAAAATAACATGGAGATCATACAGACGCACAGTCTGAGAAAAACCATTTAATGAAATCTACAACTACGGCAACAGCAACATGACAAACTCATTATTTGAGAAAAACACAAACACACAAATCCAGAGTTCATTTCTACAGCAAACAGCCACAACTGAACCGAGAGTCGATTCATCAACGAAAACCTGCAGAGAAACAACAGTGTGTGTGTGTGAGAGAGAAGAGTGTGTGTGTGTGTGTGTGTGTGAGAGAGAGGAGTGTGTGTGTGTGAGAGAGAAGAGTGTGTGTGTGTG